TAGCAATCCAAAACAGTCCAGTGGAGCCTGAGCGGTGGGTGTTGCCTTCTGACACACTTCTGGTGATGTCAGGGGGTGTGGCATATGCAAATGAGCTATGCTAATGAGCTATGCTAATGAGCTCCTGCTCCTCTTTTTTCTACGAAATGACCCCTGCTTGTCAGGGATGCTCTGGGCTGATCCTGCACTGAGCAGGGGGCTGGACCCGGTGACCTGTAGGGCCCCTTCCAGCTCTGTGCGATTCTGTGATTCCTTCTTGTTTTCACGTGGCTTTTTAGGGGAGGGGGGGTATCTTGCCGTAACGCAGGGAAGATATCAGGCCACCTCCTGACGGAGAGGTGCTCACCAGGTAGTGCTCCAGGTCGGCTTCCCGCTCGGCTAACTTCTGGTTTTCTTCTTCTAGCGCGGACAGTCTCTCTTTCAAAGGGCCAATCTGCAGCTTCAAATTAAAAAAAAAGAGAGAGAGAGACAGGAAACACAAATTCATTTGTTCTGTTTGGCGATAACGTGCAAACATTATAGAATCCAATATAACATACAGTCAAAATGTAATCAGTCCATTGTTTTAATCTCTTTTCAACAGTGAAGACGTCAAAGATGAAAAGTGAAGACGTCAATGAAGAAGGAATGGACGAACTTCCCCGGAGTTACCACTCGTTTCGAATTTTCCATACGTATGCTTGGAAATTTATTGTCATAATGTATTCTGGCTGGGATGACTTCCTGTTTTGAGTAATGGATATGTTTCTTGATATGTATGAAAAAGAAAATTCGAAACGAGTGGTAACTCCGGGGAAGTTCGTCCATTCCTTCTTCATTGACGTCTTCACTTTTCATCTTTGACGTCTTCACTGTTGAAAAGAGATTAAAACAATGGACTGATTACATTTTGACTGCATGTTATATTGGATTCTATAATGTTTGCACGTTTTGCAGTAATTATATTGTAATTATTATTGTCATACTGCTACCCCCTCCATCTACTGTTTGGCGATAAGTCAGCTGCTCACAGCTCGATCCCACTTGGGCAGAAGAAACACAGCCGGCTCTTCGAGAAGGCTTGCCCCGAGGCGCTGGGATCTCGACTCTTCCCACCTCCCAAGCGCAGCCGATACGCTATCGGTTGGGGCACACAGATGACCAATCATAGGCTGCGCTGCTTGCTGCCAGGAATTTAGGCCTCTACTTGAGTCGCTGCTCAGAGCACAATCGCTAGCAGACTCAACAGGAACAGCAACCCAAATTTGGCCAGGGGGGCACTGAAGGGGCGTGACGTCACTTATGACATCACACAAACAAAAGACTTCCCCTTTTAAATGCTGCTCCAGCCGCGAGTTGCAAGCCCGCCCGCCTGCAGCCGGAAGACAAGGAAGAGCCTTTTCCTCCTCTCCTGGCTGCGGGTGGGGACGCTGCTTGGATGGGGCGGGGCTCATAAACGAGGGGGCGTGGCCCCGAAACGCCCCACCGTAGCTACATACCTGCTTCTGGCCCTGTGGCCCAGTTTCCCCCATTATTTTTGTTCACATTTACATTTTTTGATAGTCCTCTTTGCTCAATGGGACTCAAGGCAGATTACACAGAGTAAGTCAACACCACACGGGGTAGAACTGTCCTGCTCTGGCCTGCAGGCCCTGTTCCATCCTACCTTCCTGGGTTTTCCCAACACCAGGAGGGGCTATTCTCCCTCTCTGCTCAACTGCCGCCACCTGACCTTCGTAGGCATTGCCCACTGGGAGAATCAGGACTCTCAGCTTTCCTTCCACATTCTGAGGCCTGGCCTCTGTGTCTCCCACGGGTGATCGCGGGGACAGCTTGCTGCCTTGTGCACCACTGGGGGAGTAGCCACTTGCCAACTGACTGGGCCTCCCCTTCCGCCTGGCGCTCCTTTTAAAATGGTGTGTCCAAGCCGGTGGACTCCGGTTCACACATTTTTGCCTTAACTCAGGAAGGATGGGGCTCCAGCACAAACTAATTCATGCAGCAGCTAAGTCGCTCACTCACAACCTGAATGCCAGGAGCTCACAAAGTAGAATTTGTGCTCACAAAACTCCACGGCTTAGAGGGAGCATTGGCTGTGACCCACCCTGAGCCCGCTTGTTGGAAGAGCATGTGAGCTAGTGTTCCAAAGGTAAACTCAGGAAATTCTTGGAGTTGGGGTTCAGGGGATTGGGCTTTAATATGGAACAGGCAAAACATCAGACTTTGGTAATAGAAGAAGAAGAAGAAGAAGAGGAGGAGGAGGAGGAGGAGGAGGAGGAGGAGGATTTCTACCCCGCCCTTCACTACCCAAGGGAGTCTCAGAGCGGCTTACAAACTCCTTTCCCTTCCCCTCCCTTCAACGGACACCCTGGGAGGTAGGTGGGGCTGAGAGAGCTCTTGACAGAAACTGCTCTTTTTCAAGAACAGCTCTTATCAGAACTACGGCTTGCCCAAGGTCATCCAGCCAGGTGCAAGTGGAGGAGTGGGGAATCAAACCCGGTTCTCCCAGATTAGAGGCCGCGCACTTAACCACGACACCAAAATAAATAACTGGAGATGCTGGGGATCAAACCTGGGACCTTCCGCATAAGAAGCAGATGCTCTGCCAGTGAGCCACGGCCAGGTTTCCTCCTGCTGCTTTAGTCAAAAGGCCCTCTTGAATAATTCAGTTTTGCACTGTTTGTGGGAAACCAGAAGGGCAAGAACCTTCTTGACGTCCTCGGACAGGCCATTCCACAAGGGGGGGGGGGGGCACAGAAGAGAAAACACATCTATAGGCAGTGGTCGATTTTGCCAAACTCTGGTAACATAACAAGTGTGTGCTTTGGAACAGTGAGGGAGGACGCCCTCGGTGCAAAACCAAAAATAACCGAGGTCTGCTGGATTATGTACGGCTGCAACATGTCTGGACTGGTGCCTTGGCAAGCGCAGAGCCAAGTTTTTCTGGAACCCGGAAAGCCTTTGCGGAAATCCCCAAGAAACCCAAGGGACCCGTAGTGCAGAAACCTCTGCAGCAAACCCATTTCTCCTGACGCCCCCCCTAATGCTAACAGAGGGGAAGTGGCCGAAACGTGGGGTCGGACAGCGGTCGGACGCGGGGTGTGTGTGTGTGTGTTGCGCACCTTGTTTCCAGTCAGTTCTGCTTCCAATCTGTTGTTCTCTTGCGATATTTCACGGACTGTTCTCTGCATCTGCCGGTAAGAATTAAAAATAGCTCGATCATCGGCCCGACCAAAGAAGCATCTGAGCTGAGCCGTGTTCTCTCCCGAGGTGTGTGAGGGAAATGTTGCCAAAAGGCTGGCGGGGAGGTTCTCGCTCAGGCTACCTGTCCTTCTCACACATGTCGTTCGTTCTGCCTCTTTGTCGGATTTCATTTCGTCGCTCATCCCTCCTTGGCCTACTTCTGACGGTCACCTCCACTTCCTTTGGGCAGGACGGGGGGGGGCCTCCTTTTTAGAAATTATCTATGTTATTGTTTCTCAGGTGTGGGGCCATCTGCGGATATCTAAATCCACAGATCGGGGCCACGCCAACACCAAACAGATTTTCCTGCAAAGTTGGGGGACGCCCACCCCAGGTTTGGAGAGAAATCTTTTAAAAATATATTGGTGGAGTTAAATTCCTTCACCAAATAAAACAGCTTTGCCTGCACATGTGCAGACAACACACTTACCATAACCTTGGAGAGCTGGCGGTGACAGATGCTGGGAGCCGACCTGGGCCTGGCTGTGGCAGAAGCCAGGAGCCCCCTCCCCATCTGGCACTGCTGTGTGCGTTCTTATGCTTTTATTGAATTATTTTATATATACTCTATTTAAATGCTGCTTAAATGCTGAAATGTTTTGATGTTCGCCACCTTGAGGACCCTATTTGGGTGGAAAGGAGGAGACTATTGGATTTCTACCCCGCCCTTCACTCAAAGTCTCAGAGCGGCTTACAATCTCCTTTCCCTCCCCCTTCCCACAACAGACACCCTGTGAGGTAGGCGGGGCTGAGAGAGCTCTGACTGAGAACTGCCCTTGAGAGAACAGCTCTGACAGAACTATGGCTTGCCCAAGGTCACACCAGCAGCTGCAAGTGGAGGAGTGGGGTTCTCCCAGATTAGAGTCCGCGCACGTATCCGCTACACCATGCACATGAACACATGAAGCTGCCTTCTACTGAATCAGACCCTCGGTCCATCATAGTCAGTATTGTCTACTCAGACAGGCAGCAGCAGCTCTGCAGGGTCTCAAGCCAAGGTCCTTCCCATCACCTACTGCCAGATCTTTTAACTGGAGATACCGGGGATCGAACCTGGGACCTTCTGCATGCCAAGCAGATGCTCTGCCACCAAGGAAGGACCAGCTAAATGAAGCAGCCTGATACTGAGAATCAGACCCATCCAGTCCATCAAGGTCAGCATTGTCTACTCAGACCGGCAGCAGCTCTCCAGGGTCTCAGGCTGAGGTCCTTCACATCTGCCTGGTCCTTATAATTGGAGATGCCGGGGATGGAACCTGGGACCTTCTGCATGCCAAGCAGAGGCTCTGCCACTGAGCCACAGCCCCTCTTTACAGCACTCCAGGGTCTCATGCAGAGGTCTTTCCCATCACCTACTGCCTGGTCCTTTTAACAGGAGATCCCGGGGACTGAAACTGGGACCTTCTGCATGCCAAGCAGAGGCTCTGCCACTGAGCTTCCTCCTGGACCTGCCTTTGAGAAATGCAGTTGATGCTGAACACATGAAGCTGCCTTATCCTGAATCAGACCTTTGGCCCATCATGGTCAGCATTGTCTACTCAGACTGGCAGCAGCTCTCCAGGGTCTCAGGCAGAAGTCTCATCAGCTACTCCCTGGTCCTTTTCAACTGGAGATGCCGGGGATTGAACCTGGGACCTTCTGCATGCCAAGCAGATGCTCTACCCCTGAGCCACGGCCCCTCCCATTGAAAATGTATTATTTCATTTATATAAAACAGTACATAAATGAGGGAGGAAATGATAATGGCTAATAATGACACCTGGGCAGACCAAACATAAGGTGTTAATACCTTTAATGACTAACTTTCGTGAATGCTCACCCTTCCTAGGAAATGGAATTTACATCCAAGACAAGGGACAGCTCTGTAGCAGAGCGGGCTCTTTTTGTAGCAGGTACTCATTTGCATATTAAGCGACACACCCCTAATGTAGCCAATCCTCCAAGAGCTTACAGGAGCCCCTGTAAGAAGAGCTCTGTAAGCTCTTGGAGGATTGGCTACATTAGGGGTGTGTGGCCTAATATGCAAAGGAGTTCCTGCAGAGGGGTCAACTGCACCCGTTCCTTGTTCCATTTGCCAGTGACTCACTGAACCAAAACGGGTGGGTACATGTCAGGTAGCCCTGTCACAGATCTGGAATGTGGGGGGGTGGTTTTTTGCCTCCTTCCTCGTTCTCAGCTCTACCCTGTCCAGCCACTGTGTGCTATCCCAGGCTTGACCTTGTAGTCTCCAGCTGTAATTACGAGGCTGGGAACCACAACGGCTTTTCACTAAGATTGCTTGCTTTTGCCGCCCGCATGCGCGAAATACAACCATTGGCTTTTGCTCATTAAGAACATAAGAACATAAGAGACGCCAATGTTGGATCAGGCCAAAGGCCCATCCAGTCCAACACTCTGTGTCACACAGTGGCCAGAAATACCAGTGCCATCAGGAGGTCCAGCAGTGGGGCCAGGACATTAGAAGCCCTCCCACTGTTGACCCCCCCCAAGCACCAAGAAGACAGAGCATCACTTGCCCCAGAGCCCCTAGCTATACCTTGTGGCTAATAGCCACTGATGGACCTCTGCTCCATATGCTTATCTAATTCCCTTTTGAAGCCGTCCATGCTTGTAGCACCCACCACTTCCTGTGGCAGTGAATTCCATGTGTTAATCACTCTTTGGGTGAAGAAGTACTTCCTTTTATCCGTTCTAACCCGACCGCTCTGCAGTTTCATGGAGTGCCCACGAGTTCTTGTATTGTGAGAAAGGGAGAAAAGTACCTCTTTCTTTACCTGCTCTTTCCCATGCATAATCTTATAAACCTCGATCATGTCACCCCTCAGTCGTCTTTTCTCCAAGCTAAAGAGCCCTAAGCGCTTTAACCTTTCCTCATAGGGAAAGTGTTCCAACCCTTTTATCATTCGAGTTGCCCTTTTCTGCACTTTTTCCAAAGCTATAATATCCTTTTTAAGGTGTGGTGACTAGAACTGCACACAGTATTCCAAATGAGGTCTCACCATTGATTTATATAGGGGCATTATTATATTGGCTGATCTGTTTTCAATACCCTTCCTAATAATCCCCAGCATAGCATTGGCCTTCTTTATTGCAGTCACACACTGTCTCGACATTTTCAGTGAGTTATCCACTACAACTCCAAGATCTCTCTCTTGCTCAGTCTCTGCCAGTTCAGACCCCATCAATGTGTATTTATATTTAGGATTTTTGGCTCCAATGTGCATCACCTTGCACTTGGCCACATTGAACCCCATTTGCCATGTTGACGCCCACTCGCCCATCCTTGACAGATCCCCTTGGAGTGCCTCACAATCCTCACTGGTTTTCACCACCCTGAACAACTTTGTATCATCCGCAAATTTAGCCACTTCACTGCTTACTCCCATCTCCAAATCATTAATGAACAAGTTAAAAAGCAGTGGACCAAGTACTGATCCCTGCGGTACCCCACTGCTTACCACCCTCCACTGAGAAAATTGCCCACCTACACTCACTCTCTGTTTTCTATGAACTAGCCAGTTTTTGATCCATAAAAGGACTTGTCCTTCTATCCCATGATTTTTGAGCTTACTTAGGAGCCTTTGATGAGGAACTTTATCAAAAGCTTTCTGGAAGTCAAGGTAAATAATATCTATTGGATCCCCCTTGTCCACATGTTTGTTCACCCCCTCAAAGAACACTAACAGGTTAGTGAGACAAGATCTTCCCTTACAGAAACCGTGCTGAGTCTGCCTCAATAGGTTTTGTTCATCTATGTGCCTACTAATTCTTTCCTTAATAATGGTTTCCACCAATTTACCCGGTATCGACGTCAGACTGACTGGCCTGTAATTTCCCGGATCTCCTCTGGAACCCTTTTTAAAGATGGGAGTGACATTAGCTACCTTCCAATCCTCAGGAATGGAGGCAGATTTTAAGGAAAGATTACATATCTTTGTCAGGAGATCTACAAGTTCACATTTGAGTTCTTTCAGAACTCTCGGATGTATGCCATCTGGGCCTGGTGATTTTTCAGTTTTTAAGTTGTCTATCAGTTTTAGGACCTCCTCTCTCGTCACCTCAATCTGACTCAGGTCTTTCAACACCCCTCCTGAAATCAGTGGTTCTGGAGTGGGCAAGCACTTCTCATCTTCCACAGTGAAGACGGAGGCAAAAAATGCATTTAGCTTCTCAGCCATTTCCCTATCATCCTTCAATACTCCTTTTACCCCTTGGTCGTCCAAGGGCCCCACTGCCTCCCTGGCTGGTTTCCTGTTTCTAATGTATTTGAAGAAAGTTTTATTGTTGGTTTTTACGTTTTTTGCTATATGCTCCTCATATTCCCTTTTTGCCTGCCTGACCTCAGACTTGCATTTTATTTGCCATAGCCTGTGTTCCGTTTTATCAGCCTCACTGTGACTAGCTTTCCACTGCTTAAAGGAATTCTTTTTACTTTTTACAGCCTCCATTACTCTGTTTGTTAACCATGCAGGCTTTTTCCTATACCTGTTTGTGCCTTTCCTAACCTGCGGAATATATATTTTTTGAGCTTCTAGGATCGTAGTTTTAAATAGATCCCAAGCTTCCCCAATTGTTTTGACCCTTTCTACTTTTCCTTTCAGTTTCCTCCCCACGTGTCCCCTCATATCAGAGAAATTACCCCTTTTAAAGTTAAAAATGGTTGTGTGAGTCTTTTTGGCCAATTCTCTATTTGTACAAATGATGAACTCAACAACATTATGATCACTGTTTCCAAGCGGTGCAATCACTTTTACATCTCTCACCAGGTCTTGAGTGTTACTTAGGACCAAATCAAGGATCGCCTCTCCCCTGGTAGGTTCCGTGACCATCTGCTCCATAGCACAGTCATTTAGAGTGTCTAGAAACTCAATCTCTTTTTCCCGGCTAGAACACATATTGACCCAATCAATGTGTGGGTAGTTAAAATCACCTATTATTACACAGTGTTTTTGTCTAGTTGCTATCTTTAAGGCATTCATCATTTTATAATCCTCCTCTATCTTTTGATCTGGTGGGCGATAACAAACTCCCAGTGTTAAGTTTCCTTTTGGCCCCCCTATTTCAACCCATAGAACTTCCAGAAGCGAATCCAATTCACTTAGCCTCTCAATCTTTCTAGACTTTATACCCTCTCTGACATACAGAGCTACCCCACCTCCAACCCTTCCCCCCCTATCCTTCCGATATAATATATAACCGGGAATCACTGTGTCCCACTGATTTTCCTCATCCCACCAAGTTTCAGAAATACCCACAATGTCTATTTTTCCCTCCCTCACCAAGCACTCCAACTCCCCGATTTTACCTCGGACACTTCTAGCATTTGTATAGAAACAGCTGTAATTTCCCTTACAAGTTAAGCCTGCATCCTTCCTCTTGCTATCTCGAGTCGTTGTCCGGCAGTCCATGTCACCAGCCATGGCCTCTGTGGACAATTTCAATCCACCTCCCTGTAGAAAAGCAACCGGTACCCCCTCACCTCTCTCAGATGAGCCAACCCGAACCAGAGACTTTTCATCTCCTGTCGGCTTTCCCCCAATATTCAGTTTAAAAGCTGCTCTGCCACCTTTTTGATTTTAAGTGCCAGCAGCCTGGTTCCTTCTCGGGACAAGTGGAGACCGTCTCGCCTGTACAGCTCCCTCTTGTTCCAAAAAGTATCCCAGTGCCTAACAAACCTGAACCCTTCTCCCCTACACCATCGTCTCATCCACGCATTGAGACTCCTGATCTCTGCCTGTCTCTCCGGCCCTGCGGGGGGGGGATGTTTGATTTCACTATAAGTCAGAGGCCCTTATACTGAAGGCTATTCCTGACACAAGCTGTATACGTGTTCTTTAGTACTGGATCCATCAATAAACACTTATCTTCTTCTGAAGCCCTGTGTGGTGTGACCTGACTAATGACCCTGACAGAATCCTTCCGCAACTCGCATACAACTATCCTGACTTTATGGTCACAGTCGTTCTGACACGCCAAAGAGAGGGAGAACCGAGCCCCTTCCTGGTTCTTGCACGGCTGACAAGGAACAACGGGCATCTCCTTCGTCAGCATGAAGTATCGAGTCAGGCATGAAATATTAACATCCTTAAATTAAAGAACCCAGCAACTATGCACCGTACCTCTTCCGCTAGCCGCTCCTTCTCCTTCAGCAGAGAATCCCTCCCCTGCAGCGCTGCCCCCAGCTCACTCTGTAACCTGGTCACCGCCGCCTCCAGGAGCTCCTTTTGGGCGGCCATGGTCTCCGCGACTTCACCGGCTTTCCGCTTGCAGTCGGCATGCTCGGCGCGGAGGGCCTCCCTGCAACAGCGAGGCGGGTACATGTCGTGGCAGTTTGGTAGCTGGTGCCTGAGATTTTCATAGCGGTAGCAAGGACCTGGATGGCCCAGGCTAGCCCGATCTCGTCAGATCTCGGAAGCTAAGCAGGGTCGGCTCTGGTCAGAACTTGAATGGGAGACCACCAAGGAAGCCCAGGGTTGCTACGCAGAGGCAGGCAAATGGGGAATCACTTTTGTTCACCTGACCTGACGTGGATGGCCCAGGCTAGCCCGATCTCGTTGGATCTTGGAAGCCAAGCAGCGTTGGCCCTAGTCTGTACTTGGGTGAGAGACCCTCCAAGGAAGTCCAGGGTTCCTACGCAGAGGCAGGCAATGGCAAACCGCCTCTGTTTTGCCTCTGCCCCGGCCTGGGTTAATCCGGCTAGCCCAGTCTCATCAGATCTTCGAAGTAAACAGGGTTGGCCCCAGTTAGTTTGTGGATGAGAGACCACCAAGGAAGTCCAGAGTTGCTTTGCAGAGGCAGGCAAATGGGAAACCACTTTTGTTCGTATGACCTGACGTGGATTGCTACGCAGAGGCGGGCAATGGCAAACCACCTCTGTCTTGCCTCTTCCCTGACCTGGGTAGATCAGGCTGGCCCAGTCTCCCCAGATCTTAGAAGCTAAGCAGGGCTGGCCCTGGTTAGTACATGGATGGGAGACCACCAAGGAAGTCCAGAGTTGCTTTGCAGAGGCAGGCAAATGGGAAACCACTTTTGTTCGTATGACCTGACGTGGATTGCTACGCAGAGGCGGGCAATGGCAAACCACCTCTGCTCACCTCTTGCCTTGAAGACCCCACGAGGTGTTGCCACGAGTCAGCTGAGACTCGACGCCGCTTTCCACCACCAGGAGGTCCCCTATTCCAAACAGCCGATCCTTGCCGTAATCCCCTCTTGCTTGTAAAGACTCAGGGCTATTTTTGGGCAGGAACGCACAGGAACGGAGTTCCGGCTGGCTCATGAGTTGGCCACGCCCAGCAGGAACTCATTAGCATAATAGGCCACACCCAACAGCAGGAACTCATTAGGATTGGCTACATTAGGGGTGTGTGGCCTAACATGCAAAGGAGTTCCTGCTACAAAGAAAGCCCTGGTTGACAACAAACAAGGTAAACAGAATAAGAAGCAAAAGGTGGGTGTGTCTGGATGACCCCACTTCTGGTAACATGGGGTGTGTGGCCTAATATGCTAATGAGCTGTGCTGTCATGGGTGTGGCCTAATATGCTAATGAGTTCCTGCTGTTGGGTATGGCCTATTATGCTAATGAGTTCCTGCTGGGCTTTTTCTATTAAAAAGCCCTGTAAAGAGCTTCTATGAAGCCATGAGAAATAAGTTGGGAGCAGGGCGGGGGAGAAAGCCGAGCCGACACCACCCCCTACGAAGCGTGTCACCGCCATCCACTCCGTTCTTACTCACATCCCTTTCTGCAGCTCAGCTTTTTCTTTCTGCAAATTCTGCAGCTCCCCCGTGATGCTGGCCCGGGCGGCGTCCAGAAGCAAGTCTTGTTCTTGCAGCTTCCGGTTGATTCTGTCCTGTTCAGCCTGAAAGGAAGAACTGGAGAGAGCGCTCCAGAAACAATACAATCCCAAGCCAACCGAAATATCTCTCCAACGGCTGGCTGTTAGTGAATCGACAGTCGTTGAATCGAAACAATCTTTTTTTCATATTGTTTAAGGAGGGAGGGAGGGAGGCCGTGAGAGAAATTGCAAAGGGACACTCTGGAACTCCCTCTCCCCATCCTTCGGCTGCGAGGATTGGCCGAGGAGGGCTGCTAGGCAACTGAGTCCCGCATTGCCCGGTGCCTGAGGGAGGCAAACCTTCCGGACCCCGGGAGACACGCACGCGCGGTATAGTTAACCGAGCAAAACTGAAGCTATGCGCTGGCTCTTATGTGTCAACCACGGGGATTCCCTGATTGTGTCATTGCGGGCTGGTTATGACGCAGAAGTAGCCCCGGAACACATGACCAGTGTTCCCTCTAAGCTGAGTGAGTGTGAGCCAGCTCACAGTTTTTTAGCCTCCGGCTCGCACATTTTTTGTCTCCGCTCAGGAAGGGACGGCTCCAGAGCAAACTGATTTATGCAGCAGCCAAATCGTTTCCTCACACCTTTAATGCCAGTCGCTCACAAAGTAGAATTTTTGCTCACAAGACTCCACAGCTTAGATGGAGCATTGTTCACAAGGCCCAGGATGTAACCCTCTCCTCTAGTCTAGCTAAAAGAGAGAAAAGGTGCGGTACCGGGGCTGGACAGCCCACACCAAAGGCCTCGCTGGTGCTGGGCAAAGAGGGATGATGATCTGTGGCACGTGGGGGCCTCCCCCCACCGACTCTCCTTGTGGGTCAGGTGTGGCGCGATGCTCACACTGTTGGATGTGGTTGCTCGGCCATATCCACAGCAGTGGGAGGTGGAGGAGTGCCCTCAGGACTGAGAGGGACCCAGTGGGCCACCCTGCAGGGGCCGGAAGCACGGGAGCTTTTGGCCTTTGACTCTTGGGTTTAAGGTCTGCACTGTCTAATGTAGGGCTGCCAAGTCTGTCTTCCGCCCCCAGCGGGAGACTTTAGGGGTGTTCCTAGAGGGGGCGGGGCATCACCGACGTGATGACGGCACGTTGGGGACATCCACCCCCCCGCCGCCCCGATCTCCAGAAAGGCCAGTTTCCTGCACTTAAAGGAGTCGGCATTTCCCTTTTAAGTACACGGAGCTGGCATTTCCCTGCAAGCCTGATCTCAAGCGGAGATCGGGCTTGGGAGGAAACGCGGGTTCCATGAACTTAAAGGCAGCCTTATAATGGGGTCTGTTAAGGTCTTTGAAAAGTTAGCACTAATCACATGGCGAGCTCGAGGCGGGTTTCTCATGCACGCTCAACACAATGCGCATACAGCAGTGCAACTGAATTTGGGAGCAACGCTCCTTCTGAGCTGCAGAGTCTTGTGAGCAAAAATGGTACTTTGTGAGCGAGCGATTTGGCTGCTGCGTAAATTAAGTTGCTCTGGAGCCACATCCCTTCCTGAGCTAAGAGAAAAACGTGTGAGCCGGAGGCTAAGAAACCATGAGCTAGCTCACACTAATTCAGCTTAGAGGGAACACCACCAAAGATTTATCACCAGCTAAGACCAGCTGTAAGAGCAAAGAGCAGGAGGCAAACCAAAGTCTGGGGTCGGAGGTCAGCAGAAGTCAGAGCGAGATTCTACTCAAAGGAAGGACATTTGTGGGATTTCATCTGGTCTCCAGGAGCCACATAGGACAAGTCACACAGAAGTAGATTCAAAGGATTCCACACCTTAAGGGCAGCCTGGTGGTCCGAGGTAAGTTTAGCGTTCTCCACGGTAACGCTTCGAAGGGTCTCCCTCAGTTCCGCACACTGTTGGTTCAACTGCTCATTAAGCGCCTGAAACAAAAAAGAAAACAGTTTTTTTCCTCCACAAAAGCAGCAAGAATTCTCTGTACAATTGCTAGTTCCACCTTTCTTCCTTAAGAAACAAATGTATTTCTAGCCCTACATGGAAAAGAAGAAGAGGAGGAGGAGGGGGAGGAGGGGGAGATTGGATTTATAACCTGCCCTTCACTACCCAAAGGTGTCTCAGAGCAGCTCACAAACTCCTTTCCCTTCCCCTCCCCACAACAGACACCCTGCAGTGTTCCCTCTAAGCTGAGTTAGTGTGAGCTAGCTCACAGTTTTTTAGCCTCCGGCTCACACATTTTTGTCTTAGCTCAGGAAGGAGGACTCCAGAGCAGACTAATTTATACAGGAGCCACATCGCTCGCTCAGTACTTTAATGCCAGTAGCTCACAAAGTAGAATTTTTGCTCATAAGACTCCACAGCTTAGAGGGAGCCTTGCCTGTGAGGTCGGTGGGGCTGAGGGAGCGCTCTTGAGGATAGCTCTTGAGAGAACAGCTCTGAGAGAACTTGTGGCTGACCCAAGGCCACACCAGCAGCTGCATGCGGAGGAGTGGGGAATCAATCCCGGCTCTCCTAGATTAGAGCCCGCGCTCCTCACCACTACACCAAACCGGCTATATAACCAAAGTGTATCCCGTCCTTTGCAAGGCCAGTTCTCTTTTCCGTCCTGGATAATTTTGGATGAAGACCGTGAGACGACTGCGTTCTTTACCTGGACTTTCCCACCCATCTCTTGCAAGGCGGTTATTTCCGATCGCAGCTTCAGGTTCTCCTCGTGTTCTCTGCTGAAAGACAGCTGGGCAGCCTAGTGGAAAAGGGGGGTAAATTTTCCCTGGGGAAAAACGACCATTTAACAGGTAAAACCTGCGGTCAACCGAGGAACACCGGCCAATCCCATTGTCCTGTCCATTAACCCCCATCCACTGGCCAAGGTTTGGGGCAGCAAGTAAAGACAGCAGAAAAATCAAGCTACAACCTGTCGAAAAACCCCAAAAGGCCAAAAAAGGTTGAGGAAAAAGGGCGTGGATGTGTACAGGAATATCTTTTGGGATTGTGTCAGCCAGAATTGCGTTGAAGATTTAGTTTCAACAACCCAGCATAATAAATAACCTCACTAGAAGCATCAGTAAATGGAGTCACAAAGTTGCCACCAAAAAGATAAAAGTCGTAGAACGGATAAAAGGAATTATTTCTTCACCCAAAGAGTGATTAACATTTGGAATTCACTGCCACAGGAAGTGGTGGCGGCTACAAGCAGGGACGGCTTCAAAAGGGAATTAGGTAAGCATATGGAGCAGAGGTCCATCAGTGGCCACAAGCTATAGATAGAGGCTCAGGGGCAAGTGATGCTCTGTCATCTTGGTGCTTGGGGGGGGGGGCAACAGTGGGAGGGCTTCTAATGTCCTGGCCCCACTGGTGGACCTCCTGATGGCACCTGGTATTTCTGGCCACTGTGTGACACAGAGTGTTGGGCTGGATGTGCCATTGGCCTGATCCAACATTGGCATCTCTTATGTTCTTAGCGAAACTTCTTCGCCCGTTGCCATCAGGTCGTATATCTGGTTCATAATGAGATGAACTATCTCCAAAATTACAAAAAACAACAACAACCCCCCAATATTATGCGGTTTCACAAGACTAAAAAAAGCCATTCAGTTCTTGATGCGTTACAATCACAATTATTTTGTTCTGCTTTCTGTTTATTAAAGGATATTCATTTTGTTCATTCTTTATGGGTTTTTAAATAGATTCAAGTGGGCAGCCACATTGGTATGCAGCAGCAGATTCTCCCTTTATGAACTTACTTTCTCTTCTTCACTGAGCTTGGAAATGGTGTTCTCTCGGGATTCTGGAACAGAGCCCAACAAAAACAGCCACCAGTTAAAACACTCACTTTTTCCTATCAACGTGGTTTTATTATTGGGTTCATACCCCGCCCTTCATTACCCGAAGGAGTCTCAGAGCGGCTCACAATCCCCTCCCCCTCCCCACAACAGACACCCTGTGAGCAGCGTTCCCTCTAAGCTGAGTGAGTGTGAGCTAGCTCACTGTTTTTTAGCCTCTGGCTCACACATTTTCATCTTCGCTCAGGAAGGAGGGCTCCAGAGCAAACTGATTCACGCAGTAGTCAAATTGCTCGCTCACAACCTTAATGCCGGCAGCTCACAAAGTAGAATTTTTGCTCACAAGACTCCACGGCTTAGAGGGAATATTGCCTGTGGGGTAGGTGGGGATGAGAGAGCTCTTTCGAGGACTGCCCTTGAGAGAACAGCTCTGAGACAACTTGTGACTGGCCCAGCAGCTGCATGTGGAGGAGTGGGGAATCAAACACGGTCCCCCCAGATTAGAGTCTGTGCTCCTAACCACGACACCAAAAAAGAAGAAGAGCTGGATTTCTACCCCACCCTTCACTCAGAGTCTTCAGAGCGGCTTACAGTCTCCTTTCCCTTCCTCTCCCCATAACGGACACCCTGGGAGGTCGGTGGGGCTGAGAGAGCTCTGAGAGAAACTGCAAGGTGTTGGGGAAAGGCATTAACCCCTCTGGCTTGGGAAGAAAGGGTGCATGGAAAACGTTAAAAAGAGATTGTCCCGTGATTATTGCTGGCGCTTCACTTGTAAAGAAAAACAAGCTTTGGGGGGATTGCGGGGATCGCAGTTCCCCCGGGTGCTCCAGCTGGACGGCCCTCCCCTCCTCCTTCCGCAGCCTCTCCTGCGCTGCCTCGATGTCCTGGCGCAGGGCGCTGCAGTCCTGCTGCAGAAGGTGCACCTGGAACGACACCCAGACGAGAGGCGGATAGCTTGGGATACTCGCCTTCGGCACGGCAGCTTCGAGGCCGTGCTGATGCCATTCCTCGAGGCCGGTGGCCTTCAGCCCACGGGTTGGGGGCACTCGGATGAGTCACACAGCCTCCACCCAGTGTTCCTTCTAAGCTGAGTTAGTGTGAGCCAGCTCACAGTCTTTTTAGCCTCCGGCTCACACGTTTTTATCCTGACTCAGGGAGGATGGGGCTCCAGAGCAAGCTTATATATGCAGCGGCCAAATCGCTCGCTCACAACTTTCATGCCGGTAGCTCACAAAGAAGAAGTTTTGCTCACAAGACTCCACGGCTTAGAGGGAGCACTGCCCCCACCCGCTGGGTTGCGAGCCTCTATGGAGCTGCCCCCGTTCCTGCTATCCGGAGAGTCTGGAAAGAACTCTGGAGAGAACTGCGTACAGTTCTTTTCACTGCACCTCAAAAAAGATATTATAGCACTGGGAAAATGGGCAGAAAAGGGCAACTCAAACGATTAAGGGGATGGAATGCTTCCCTAACGAAGAAAGGGTAAAGAGGTTGGGGCCACAGTGGGAGGGCTTCTGGACTTCTGGTCCCACTGGTGGACCTCCTGATGGCACCTGGTGTTTTTGGCCGCTGTGTGACAGAGTGTTGGACTGGATGGGTCACTGGCCTGATCCAACATGGCTTCCCTTATGTTCTTAGGTGTAGGGCAGTGACGCTCTGTCTTCTTGGTGCTTGGGGGGCGCCACAGTGCGAGGGCTTCTGGAGTTCTGGCCCCGCTGGTGGACCTCCTAATGGCACCTGGTGTTTTTGGCCGCTGTGTGACAGAGTGTTGGACTGGATGGGTCACTGGCCTGATCCAACATGGCTTCCCTTATGTTCTTAGGTGTAGGGCAGTGACGCTCTGTCTTCTTGGTGCTTGGGGGGCGCCACAGTGCGAGGGCTTCTGGAGTTCTGGCCCCGCTGGTGGACCTCCTAATGGCACCTGGTGTTTTTGGCCGCTGTGTGACAGAGTGTTGGACTGGATGGGTCACTGGCCTGATCCAACATGGCTTCCCTTATGTTCTTAGGTGTAGGGCAGTGACGCTCTGTCTTCTTGGTGCTTGGGGGGCGCCACAGTGCGAGGGCTTCTGGAGTTCTGGCCCCGCTGGTGGACCTCCTAATGGCACCTGGTGTTTTTGGCCGCTGTGTGACAGAGTGTTGGACTGGATGGGTCACTGGCCTGATCCAACATGGCTTCCCTTATGTTCTTAGGTGTAGGGCAGTGACGCTCTGTCTTCTTGGTGCTTGGGGGGCGCCACAGTGCGAGGGCTTCTGGAGTTCTGGCCCCGCTGGTGGACCTCCTAATGGCACCTGGTGTTTTTGGCCGCTGTGTGACAGAGTGTTGGACTGGATGGGTCACTGGCCTGATCCAACATGGCTTCCCTTATGTTCTTAGGTGTAGGGCAGTGACGCTCTGTCTTCTTGGTGCTTGGGGGGCGCCACAGTGCGAGGGCTTCTGGAGGTCTCGCCCTACTGGTGGCCCTCCTGATGGCCCCTGAGTTTTTGGCCGCTGTATGACACAGAGAGTTGGACTGGACGAGCCACTGGCCTGATCCAGCATGGCTTCCCTTATGTTCTTAGGTGTAGGGCAGTGACGCTCTGTCTTCTTGGTGCTGGGGGGGGGCACAGTGGGCGGGCTTCTGGAGTTCTGGCCCCGCTGGTGGACCTCCTGATGGCACCTGGTGTTTTTGGCCACTGTGTGACACAGAGTGTTGGACTGGATGGGTCACTGGCCTGATCCAACATTGGCTTCTCTTATGTCTAGGGCAGTGATGCTCTGTCTTCTTGGTGCTTGGGGGGCGCCACAGTGTAAGGGCTTCTGGAGGTCTGCCCCCCCTGGTGGACCTCCTAATGGCCCCTGAGTTTTTGGCCACTCTGGGCCAGTGTTGGACTGGATGGGCCATTGGCCTGATCCAACAGGGTATGATGAAATTGGACTAGCCTGGACCAGCCGGATCAGGGCCTGACACCCAATAAAAGATGGGGGTTTGAATGGTTAAGTGGGGAAAGTGTTGTTTTTGGTGGCAACCCGGTCAGCCCCCCGTGGTCTTCAGGCTTTCCAGGCCTTTCGCGCTTGGCTGGTAGCATGGAATCCGTTCAGTTGCGAGCAGGTGGTCTCACAGTCGCATGACAGGAAGGGAAGGAACCAGAGCGATGATCTTAGCGGTGTCAAGGCCAGGACAGTGAGCGGCAGGCCCAGAAAGTTAGGGACAATAAGTACAAGCCAAGCACCGGGAGGTGCAGCGTAGTGGAGAGCAGGCCAAGATGTGGACTAGGCAGCAAGACTTAAGGACATAAGAGAAGCCCTGTTGGATCAGGCCAGTGGCCCCTCCAGTCCAACACTCTGTATCACACAGAGGCCAGAAATACCAGGCGCCATCAGGAGGTCCACCAGTGGGGCCAGGGCACTAGAAGCCCTCCCACTGTTGACCAAGAACATAAGAGAAGCCCTGTTGGATCAGGCCAGTAGCCAATCCAGTCCAACACGGGCCAAAACCCAGGGGCCCTGAAGAGGGCAACCAGGGGGGCCAGAGCTCCAGAAGCCCCCCCCCCCACTGTGGTCCCTCAAGCACCAAGAAGACAGAGCATCCCTGCCCCAGACATAAGAGAAGCCATGTTGGATCAGGCCAATGGCCCACCCAGACCAACACTGTGGAGCACACAGGGGCCATCAGGAGGTCCAGCAGTGGGGCCAGAACTCCAGAAGCCCTCCCACTGTTGCCCCCCAGCACCAAGGAGACAGAACATCACTGACCCAGACATAAGACTATAAGAGAAGCCATGTTGGATCAGGTCAATGGCCCATCCAGTCCAACATTCTTTGTCACACAGTGGCCAGAACCCAGGTGCCATCAAGAGATCCACCAGAGGGGCCAGAACTCCAGAAGCCCTCCCCCTGTTGCCCCCCAAGCTGTCCCTGCTTAGTACTTGGATGGGAGACCACCAAAGAAGTCCAGGGCAGACGATGGCAAACGACCTCTGTTTGTCTGCCTGGACCTTGATAGCCCAGGCTTACCTGATCTCGTCAGATCTTTGAAGCGAATCAGGGTCGGCCGTGGTTAATATTTGGACGGGAGACCACCAAGGAAGTCCAGGGTTGGTACGCAGAGGCAGGCAATGGCAAACCACCTCTGAACGCCTCTTGCCTTGAAAACCCAATGGAGTGGCCATAAGTCGGTTGCAACTTGATGGCACTTTGCACACACTCACACAGCAGCCATCAGATCCTAGTGACTTTCAGCTCCTTTAAGCCAACTGTCTGTTTAATTTTTAGCACGTTTTAAATCCTTGATTTGTAGTACTACGTAAGACTATTTAAACTTCAATAGCACGCTTTGGTAACAGTCGGAGTTGGTAGCAGTGTCCTACAAACTGCACTATTGGGTTAAAGCCCCCAGGAAGGACGGATGTGGCCAAAATGTACCAACCTGCTTCCGTTCTTTTTCCACCGTCTGCTCCATATCCTGCACCCGATACAGCAGGACCGCTTGGGATTCTTCCAAAGACTTCCTCAGGCTAGATTCCTTAGAGAGCTGCTCTCTTAGCTAGAAGACATTTTTTTTAAAAAAGTCAAGTGGGTGAATGAATTGAGTAACCAACACTGGATCCCCCTTTTGACCTTACTGCAAGAACTAAGCCCTGTCAGTCTGTTTTGAGTGATGGCTCAGATTTCTCAGACAAAGAGCTACCTGCTAGCCCTGAACCGGTAACTGAACAGCTGGCTGCTTCTGGCTCTGAGCCAGAAGGAAAACAAGAAGAGATCAGGTTACCGTCTGATCAGTAGTCACAGACTCCAGCTGAAACCGATCCAACACTTTGTGGCTCTGAAGCAGTAAACAAGTCTTCAGCAGCTTCTCCCAGCCCACCTAGCTGACCCACACCCCTGCAGCACCGACACTGTCAGAGATGAGCTGAGTTGCAGGAAAGGAGGAGTGCGAGACTCATGGCGTGTCATCAGCTGTCAACTGTTGAGGTGAATGAGTCGTTTCAGGGTGACTGCCAAGGAATTGGCTGGGAGTTTAGCTCATTAAGACTTGGCTATAAATTCAGCCAGGAGAATTGGCAGTTTGTGGATGTAATGAGTACACTTAGCTACTGAGCCACCAACCTTGCTGCTACTGGACCTCTGCAACCTTGACCCTGGGGACTTCTGCATGCCAAGCAGATGCTCTACCACTGAACCACAGCCCCTCTTCATGGCTCTCCAGGGTCTCAGGCAGAGGTCTTTCCCATCACCTTCTGCCTGGTCCTTTTAACTGGATGTGCTGGTACTTGAACCTGGGGACTTCTGCATGCCAAGCGGAGGCTCTACCACTGAGCCACAGACCCTCTCCATGGCTCTCCAGGGTCTCAGGCAGAGGTCTTTCCCATCACCAGTTGGCTGGTCCTTTTAACTGGAGATGCCGGGGATTGAACCTGGGACCTCCTGCATGCTGAGCGGAGGCTCTACCACTGAGCCACAGCCCCCCCCCCCCCCCGATAATACTGACCTGGACAGACCAGAGCCACAGGAGTGATGCCCCCTCCTGAATGTGCCTGCCCCCCTCCCCGGGAGGTGGAGGGAGCCTGGGGTAGACATGTGGTATGGTGTCTTTAAGTGGGGTGGGGTGCGCTGGGGAAAGGCCACCAAGCAGCCTGCAGGTGAGGCTGTCCTGGCCGAGGGGGCCAGAGAACTGGCGAGAGGCCAAGGCCTTGGAGAACAGGGAAGGCACCTCACTGCAGCTGAGCAGGAGGGGAGGGAGAGGCGTGGCCTCACTGAGTCTTCCGGCTTCTGCAGCCGACTTCTCAACTTTGAGAAGTCGGCTGCGGAAGCAGGAAGACCCAACGAGGTTGTACCTCTCCCTCCCCTCCTGCTGGACTGCAGCCCCTCCCCCTCAGAAGGCAACCGCCCCATGTGCCGACATAATTTCTGGCAGGTCAGTTTCGGAAGTGACACAGTCACGTTGGGGGCACTGCCTCCCCCCCCAAAAAAATTTCCTGGCTACGGTCCTGTCAAACATGGTTTTGTGTGCACGCTCATCCCCTAGGGTTAAGAGCCATAGATTCTTGGGCTACTTGGGAAGTTCCGCCTTTACTCTTCTCCCTTTCCCCTGCGAGTAACAGCCGGCCTTCTGCCCTTACCTCCTGCAGGCTGTGGTTCGTTTTGATTTTGGTCGCCCTCAGCTCCTCCGCAGCAATGGCCACGTCTCTCTGCAAAGAACGAAAAACCACATGTCCAACTGAACTTCAGTGGCAGAATGTGGAAAGGCAGAATGTAGAAAGGCAGAACGCAGGAAGGCCTCTCTGCAGACAGGAGCATCTGCCTGCAGCAGTGATTTACCAGCATTTCTGAAACTTGGATTTATGTGGTATAGACAGGGGCACTGACAGTTAATTTTTTGTTTGCCCCCATCGCACAAACACATGAAGCTGCCGTATACTGAATCAGACCCCAGGTCCATCAAAGTCAGTATTGTCTACTCAGACTGGCAGCAGCTCTCCAGGGTCTCAGGCTGAGGTCTTTCCCATCACCTCCTGCCTGGTCCTAATAACTGGAGATGCCGGGGATTGAACCTGGGACCTTCTGCATGCCAAGCAGAGGCTCTGCCACTGAGCCACAGCCCCTCTTTACAGCTCTCCAGGGTCTCAGGCAGAGGTCTTTCCCATCACCTCCTGCCTAGTCCTTTTGACTGGAGATGCCAGGGATTGAACCCGGGACCTTCTGCACGCCAAGCAGAGGCTCTGCCACTGAGCCCCCGCCCCACCCCAAACCTCATGACGTCTTCAGTGATGTAAGCTTCAGACGACATGGCATGGATCTGCCTTATATTGAATCAGATCTTTTGATCCACCAAGGTCACTATTGCCTACTCTGACTGGCAGCAGCTCTCCAGGGTCTCAGGGAGAGGTCTTCCACATCACCTACGATCTGGTTCTTTCTAACTGGAGATGCCGGGGATTGAACCTGGGACCTTCTGCATGCCAAGCAGAGGCTCTGCCACTGAGCCACAGCACCTCCTCCTCACTTCTTATACCCTTAGAAAAGAACCCCACTTCATATAATTTGAAACCAGGGCAAATTCAGGGGGGAGGGGGAAGGATGCTAAGAATATGGAATGCGAAATTGGCAGTGTACGATCACATAAGCCAAAGCCAACCCTAACCTCTCACAGTTTCAGCATTCCCATTTTGGGCAAGAGGGCTCCTTGCAAGCTCGCATCTCCTCCACTGCAGGGGAAATGCAGCCGTCTCTAGAGCTGGGCCGAAGAGTTTCCGGAGACCGGCCCGTTGCCCGAAGCCCCTCGGTACCTTGGTCGCGGTTGCCATCTCCAGGGCGGCGCTGAGCCGTTCCGTCCGCTCGCGGGCTGTCTCCGCCTCCTCTCGTGCGTCACTCAGCTGCTGACGCAGCGTCCTCCCCTCCGCCTGAAGCACCTTCAGCTCCTGCAGGTGCTCCTCCTGGATCGTGTCCAGGCGCTGCTCGAGATTGGCTGCCGGACAGCAAGGGAGAACGGGAGAAGAAGAGAAGAAGAAGAAGAAGAGATTGGATTTATACCCCGCCCTTCACTTGGAGTCTCAGAGCGGCTTACAAACTCCTTTCCCTTCCCCTCCCCACAACAGACACCCTGTGAGGTGGGTGGGGCTGAGAGAGCTCTGACACAAACTGCTCTTTCAAGGACAGCTGTGCCAGAGCTTGTGACTGACCCACGGTCACATCAGCAGGTACAAGTGGAGGAGTGGGGAATCAAACCTGGTTCTCCCAGATTAGAGTCCGCACACTTAACCACTACACCAAACTGGGAGCAGGGGTCCCGGAACTTTCTGAGCCAGCGGGCACTTTTGACATTTCTTGCTTTCGAACTGCTCGGTTGGCAGGAGCCGGGGCCGGAGACGGGAGCTCACTTCGTCACGCGGCACTCGGGTCTCGAACTGCCGACTTACAGACCTTCCGGTCTGCAGCTCAGCGTCTTAACCTCTGAGCCACCGCGGCCCTTGTCTGTTTTTTAATTCTTTACAAATAAATACATGTATTTTTACATATTATTTTACATTAAGTTTTCATGGCTGGCCCTCTACTCAGTTTGACTTACCCTTGGTTTGATTTAACCTTAGGTTTTAAATAACTACCTTCTCCCTTATGTATTGTTATACTGTTAAATGGTTAACTCTTTTGCCTATTACTTCGACTGTAAACTTTTATTGTAAAGTTCGTATTGTGATGTTGTACAGTCATCTTTTATAATTGAGCTTAAGACCTTTGGTCATAGAAGCTAATAAAAAAAAGGAAAGAACTCTTTTTGCCTGTATTTTACTGGTTTTTCACTTTAAAAATCAAAATTAAAATGTATAAAGATTATTTTTAAAAATAAAAGTATACAAGTATATCAGTTCCTTGCGGTATGTGGACTGCAAGACATTGAGGAGCACAATTTAGGAATGACCGCCACCGAGACCACAGAAACATTAGACACCGGAAAGGGGGGGGAGAAAAGGCATCCAGCTCATCGCAGAGGCCAGCTTTCCCTCCTCTCGTGGAGTACCTGCGTGCTGCGGGTTCAGTTCCTTCTCCGTCTGCAGCCGGAACACGTTCAGCTTCAGGGTCTGCACGACGCTCTCCAGGCGGCACATCCGACCGACCAGCCTCTTGCAGTTCTTCCACAGCGTCTCGTTCTCGCCAACAAACGCCACTCGCGCGCAGATGGGGGCGATGGAGGGGCGATCATCGGAACGCTCCGAAGGTTTGGGAGGAAAGAACTCCACGCTGGGCGAAAAAAAACACGTTAAAAGCCAACATGAACTGAAACGCAATCAGGCATCCCAACAGTGCTAAGTGCGTGGCCACGCTGCAACGATCTAGACCCCGGTGGAGAGGAAGTAAGAACTACTGCACCGGGCGCAGGATGGAGCCGCCGACCGTAGCCGACGCCGAGGACAAGCAAAGAGGAGAAGGAGGAAAAGCTGGAGGGAGCCGAGCCAGCAATGGGCCGAGATGCCGAACTAAGATCAAGAAGAACAACAGCGCCATCTACAGGGTGCTGGTAGGGCAGTCCCCACCCCAATTCAGATGTGGCCATAGTTAGGGATAACAGAGTAACTGTAAGCCGCTCAGAGACCCCCTAGGGGGTTCGAGCGGGGTAGAAGCCGAAAGTAATAAATAAATAAATAAATAAATAAATATTTCTCATCCACAATGATGTGGGGTAACCTGACCTAGATGGCTCAGGCCGCCTTGATCTTGTCAGACCTCGGAAGCAAAGCGGGGTCGGCCCGTGTTAGGACTAGGATGTGAGACTACTGAGGAAGTCCAGGCCGTATGTGGTGCTTTACAAGTGATATTGCAGGCTTAACGGTGCCTCTTTAAAGATATATGCATCAATAGCGTCAGTATCTTTCTACTAACACAAAAGATTCTCAGACACTTAACTTAGAATAACTCCAACAGGGTATTACAATTTTTAACAACCATATTTTGTTTGAGACGCTCTCTTTTTCTGTAGTCTTCTCTGGGAAGAGATTGTTAGAACCAGGGCTCTTTTTGTAGACAAAGTCCAGCAGGAACATATTAGCATAATAGACCACTCCCAACATCAGAAACTCATTAGCATATCAGGCCACACCCCTGACAGCACAGCTCATTAGCACATTAGGCCGCACCCCCATGTTACCAGAAGTCTGGTCATCCAGCCACACCCACCTTTTGCTTCTTATTCTGTTTACCTTGTTTGTTGTCAAAACCCAGGGCTTTTTTGTAGCAGGAACCCCTTTGCATGTTAGGCCACACACCCCTAACGTAGCCAATCCCAATGAGTTTCTGCTGTTGGGTGTGGCCTATTATGCTAATGAGTTTCTGCTGGGCGTGGACTCGGGAGCCAGCCGGAACTCCGTTCCTGTGCGTTCCTGCCCAAAAATAGCCCTGGTTAGAACAGTTCTTTCCAGTGGTAAAGCAAAATGCCTTTATATACTGCTTATAGCAATCCAAAACTGCTACACAGCGACCCAACAGATAACCGCGGGTGTTCTTCCATTTCAATGTCCTCTTTCTCAAGAATCGCCATGTACGTGCAACTAATATAAGGTCGTACAATTAGTATATATAACACTTTACCGGGCATAATTCAAAATGGACTCAAGATAGACCTCAGCCATTCATTCTTACCCAATCAGCTCTTAAGAGAACTTCACCAAAGCTGCCCGAGACCCACGGTCACCACAGCACAAGAACTTCACCCTCACGCTGTTTCAGGTTTCCAAAAGTGCGCGCAGACTCAAAAAGGCTGGGACACCCTGCTATATTGCAGTGAGAGGCGTTTCAAGTTCTTGCGGGGGTGGGTATAACCTACATGGGTAAGAGCGTGTTCTCATTTTTCAACAGATGCGCAGAAGGCTAACTGCGCACAGAGGGGAAGTGTGTCGTCAGAAATGCATCCTTCCAAGCCAAGAGTCACATTTATTAAAGGTGAGTATTGCAGCTTCAGTTGTTCACAAGAGAGAGTGGATCTGTCAGAGTTCTCTCAGCAACTGGGAAGACCTTGCAAATCAAATAAATCAAGCAGCCGGGGCTTGAAAAAGGAAGTGTGTTTATGCTTCTAATTCTGAAACGGATGCTTATCTCTAGGGAAATGGTGGCCAGATGTCATAAGAACATCAGAAAGAGCCCTGCTGGATCAGACCAGTGAGGGTCCATCCAGTCCAGCATCCTGTCTCACACAGTGGCCAACCAGTTCCTCTGGAAGGTCAACAACAGGGCAGAGAGGCCGAGGCCTTCATAAGAACATCAGAAGGGCCCTGCTGGATCAGACCAGTGAGGGTCCATCTATTCCAGCACCCTGTCTCACACAGTGGCCGTCCAGTTCCTCTGGAGGGACAACAAGAAGGCACAGAGGCCGAGGCCTTCCTAAGAACAGAAGAAGAGCACCTGCTGGATCAGACCAGTGAGGGTCCATCCAGTCCAGCATCCTGTCTCACACGGTGGCCAACCAGTTCCTCTGGAAGGTCAACAACAGGGCAGAGAGGCCGAGGTCTTCTCCTGATAAGAATATGAGAAGTGCCCTGCTGGATCAGACCAGTGGTCCATCCAGTCCAGCATCCTGTCTCACACAGTGGCCAACCAGTTCCTCTGGAGGGCCAACAACAGGACACAGAGGCTGAGGCCTCCCCCCAGTATTGCCTCCTGGCTCTGGGAGTCAGAGGCTTAGTGCCTCTGAATGTGGAGGTTCCCCTCAGCCATCATGCCTAGTAGCCACATGAAACCTATCCCTCCATGAATCTATCTAATCCCCTTTGAAAGCGGTCTATTCCTCTGGCCATCACTACAGCCTCTGGCAGTGAATCCCACACTGCAATCACTCTTTGTGTAGCATAGTATTTCCTTTTGTCCGTCCTGCACCTACTCCCCATCAGCTTCATTGGCTGCCCTTCAGTTCTAGTATTTGGGGGGAGAGAGATAGATTTCTCTTTTGTCATCTCTCTGCAACCCATGCCTATTGCACCTCAGGCTTTGGGACATTTCTTGTCCCTTCACCTATTCTCCTTAGATCAGGTCAAATATTAAACAGAATCAGGTTCCTCCCTGTCAGGTCCCACTGCTCTGGAGCCGTCCTCCCTGAGCCGAGACAAAAATGTGTGAGCCGGAGGGTAAAAAACTGTGAGCTGGCTCACACTCACTCAGCTTAGAGGGAACACTGCTCTCAACCCCCACGCATCCTTTTATAAACGTCTCTCGTGTCCCCCCCCTTAGCCGTCTCTTTTTTTAAAGTCCCAGACTCGTCAGCCTTTCTTCATGTCCCAGACTATTGAGTTTCATTGTAAGGAGCGTGTCCTTGACAAACAACATACCCTGTTTCCCCGAAAATAAGACCTACCCAAAAAATAAGCCCTAGCCCAATCCCTCGCTCACAACTTTAATGCCAGTAGCTCACAAAACAGAATTTTTGCTCAGGAGACTCCACAACTTAGAGGGAGCATTGGTAGCAATGCTATGGGGGCCCCCATCCCCTGCCAGTGGGGAGGGGGACCTGGCAACCCTACGCCTTTTCTCTTTAGTGTGTCTTCTTGAGAAAAAATAAATATAAGACAGTGTCTTATTTTCAGGGGAACATGTTAGTTTTCAAGTTCTTCTCATTGTATTTAATTACACGCAATTCTGTTTTGTTATCAGGGCATTTCCTTTCGTTCATTTATTTATAAACCGGCTTTCAAAACATTTCCAAAGTTCTTGAAAAAGAGCCGTTTCTGTCAGAGCTCTCTCAGCCCCACCTGCACCTCACAGGGTGTCTGCTGAGGGGAGGGGAAGGGAAAAGGAGTTTGTAAGCCGCTCTGAGACTCCCTCGGGTAGTGAAGGGTGGGGTGTAAATCCAGTCTCTTCTCCTATACGAAGATTTTAGGTGAAGTCCCCAAATTCTCTTCTCTGGCCAGTTTCTTCATACCTTCCATGCATCTGACGAAGAGAGCTGTGTTTCTCGGGAGCTTGTGCTACAATGAAGTTTGTTAATCTTAAAGGTACTTTATAGACAGGAACTCTCAGTCTGGGGCAAGGGATGCTCTGTATTCTTGGTGCTTGGGGGGGGGGGCAACAGGGGGAGGGCTCCTAGTGTCCTGGCCCCACTGGTGGACCTCCTGAGGGCACCTGGTATTTCTGGCCACTGTGTGACACAGAGTGTTGGACTGGATGGGCCTTTGGCCTGATCCAACATTGGCGTCTCTTATGTTCTTATGTTCTTAAATACAGTTGGCTTGCTCAAAAACATCAACAGTTTCCTTTATCGTTTTATATATGGTTGTATTCAATTAAGAGTTCTGACCTGGGTGACCCAGGCTACCCCAGTCTCATCAGATCTCGGAAGCTAAGCAAGGTTGGCCCTGGTTGGTATTGGATGGGAGACCACCAAGGATCAGGCCCAGTTAGCACTCTGACGGAAGACCACCGTGGAATACCAGAGTCACCATGCAGAGGCAGAGAGCAATCAGAATGTGGAATTCGCTGCCAGAGGGTGTAGTGATGGCCACAGGAATCAACGGCTTTCAAAGGGGATTAGGTAGATTGATGGAGGATAAATCTATCAAAGGCTACTAGCCATGGTGACTGAGGAGAACCTCCGCATTCAGAGGCACTAATCCTCCGGATCCCAGAGCCAGGAGGCAACATTAGGTGAAGACCTCAGCTTTGGCTTCTCTTATGTTCTTATGTAACCAATTTTTTAATAAAACAATAAATGACCCATCTTGATAAAGAATACACAACCACAAATATACACAATAAGACTTATGCAAATTTCAGTGACTCGCAGTGCAGTGCTAGGCTGTTACACCAGTTTAAGGCCAATGAAAACGATGGCCATTGTCTGGAGTAACTCCGCGTAGGCTTCCACTGCTACAAACTCTGATCCGGGGGGACGGGACGCATGAGCTCAAAGCAAGGAAGACGTGGAATTGGGGTGTCCCTTTCAGCTCTACCTGTAGCCCTTCGCGCCCAGGGCCTCCACATCCTTCAGCAACGTGCTCGTCTGCTCTTCCACCACCCTCATCCTCTGGTCCAGGACCGCAAAGGTTTCCGGAGCCGTTGCGTTGACGCTCACGGGGGCAATGATCGGCCTTGCCATCTCGGAGCTCAGCCGCCAGCCAGTTCCCTGCACGTAAGAAACCCTGAGATCTCAGCCAGTTCTAAGGGATCTGACCAACTATTACTACAGCCAGGCTTGGACTGGGACTTTGCTTTGGACCAGTGTGGCCATCTCGAAACTCAGCTGCCCGCAGTAGCTCCTGCTGATCTAGACAGACCAGGGAGCCAGTGTGATGTACTGGCTGAGACTGTCGCATTAGTATCTGGGAGACCCAGGTTCGAATCCTCAGTTGTGCCATGGAATCTCGCTGGGTGACTGTGGGCCAGTCACACTCTCTCAGCCTAACCTACCCCATGGGGTTGCTCTGAGCATAAAACAGAGGAGGGGAGAATAAGGTAAGTTACTTTGCATCCTCATTCGGGAGAAAGGGGAGATATTTATTAGATATACAAACAGACAGACGATAGATACATAGATGACAGAAGAAGAGGAGACTGGATTTACACCCCGCCCTTCACTACCCAAAGGAGTCTCAGAGCC